TGTATGATCGGGTAGTGCTCCCGATATTTCATGTGATTTTAAGAAAGGCGTTAGCCTCGCCAAACCAACTTCAGGTTTGGATAAGAAGTATTCATGTCAAGATGTATGTATGACGCGCGTATATGATGAATGTATTAATGTATAATGAGCACGTGCGGGAAATAATTACTGTACGATAAATGATGTTACCTCGATGTTTTGTCGAGTCTGACTTTTTTGCCGGTAGGTGTTATGCCTTGTCGGAATATGAGTCGTACCAAATCAACTTCAGGATTTGGCGAAAGAACATTATTGATGTCGGTTATTATTGTGAGCCCGCTAAATCAACTTCAGGATTTAGCCACGAGGGGCATCAGCCTCCCCAAGCCATCTGCAGGGCTTGGAAGTATCCGGCTGTGTCGCGTTTGGCCAGGTCATACCAACTTCAGGGTATGAAACACGTTCAGCCTCAGCAACGGGGACCGATTTATCGAGGGTCCATTAATTGTGTTTCCCCATGGTAGGTTCTGTGTCTTGCCTCTTGCGGGGAAGACACACATTTTTATGCACCGAACTATTTTTTGAGATTCGGCTCTTTTTAAATGTAGGAAATTAAAGATACCTCAGCGAGACGTTATAAAGACATCAGCTCGGCTGGAGTCGAGGCTCGACGGCGAGCGGATAAAGAGACGTCGGCTCAGCCAGAGTCGTGGCTCAACGGCGAGCGGATGTAGAGGCGTCGGCTCAGCCGGAGTCGAGGCTCAACGGCGAGCGGATGTAGAGACGTCGGCTCAGCCGGAGTCAAGGCTCAACGGCGAGCGGATATAGAGTCGTCGGCTCAGCCAGAGTCGAGGCTCAACGGCGAGCGGATATAGAGGCGTCGGCTCAGCCGGAGTCGAGGCTCAACGGCGAGCGGATATAGAGTCGTCGGCTCAGCCGGAGTCGAGGCTCAACGGCGAGCGGATATAGAGGCGTCGGCTCAGCCGGAGCCGAGGCTCAACGGCGAGCGGATATAGAGGCGTCGGCTCAGCCAGAGTCGAGGCTCAACGGCGAGCGGATATAGAGACGTCGGCTCAGCCGGAGTCGAGGCTCAACGGCGAGCGGATATAGAGTCGTCGGCTCAACCGGAGTCGAGGCTCAACGGCGAGCGGATATAGAGACGTCGGAGATAAATGACTGGCGGAGGCATAAAGGAGTTTGGTCCCAGCTTTGATGACTTATTCGGCCCCGGCTATTGTCAGTATGAGCGAATGAACTTGGTTCTTCCATTGATAAGTAAACTTGACCCCACCAATGATTAATGAAATCAGTCTGACTGTTTGAATGAAAAAACTTAGCCTTAACTCCCGTCAGTCTGAATAAATAATTTTGGCCCCGGCTCTCGTCGGTTTGAATAAATAATTTCGCCCCCAATGCTCTCTTCTTCCTTTTTGTTTTTTTCTTGTTGGGCCATCTTAAAGTCAAGCCCAAATAAAATATTAAATGGACACCATCATCAAATGGGTAGTGGCCTTTTTCACATCTACATATTCTTCCCTCACATCATTCTTTCACCGAAATCGGCCCAAAAACCTTCTGTGATAATGACAGATATGCGATGCTATTAAGATCGAAAGAATAGAACCTTGTCTTCAATTGTGTTCGATGGTCGCGAAATTAATTGTAGAGATCTGGTAACGGAGGTTCGATCCAGGTACGATTTAAAAACCGAGGATGATGAGGTCGGTTGCGACAGTAAATCGGAAGTCCAGCAGCAAATCGATTATCGGGGGCTTGTCGTGAGCCGTGGACCGGGGTCAATTTCGAGATAAATTTGGTCCTGGAGAGCAGATCGGGGAAGATATGATTACCTCGGGTGCAAGACGTCGGAGATTGAGATGTCTGATTCCTATCGGACCGAGATGTTAAAGTCGGTTTTTTGGAGATTTGGGACCGAATTGAACATATCGGTTTTGAAGATGTCGGATTGTTCGGTGGTTGTGTGCTCCGATGTCGGAAAATTGGACTCCGGCGATTAAAGATTCGGTCCCGAGGTGAGTCGGAGATCACAGCTGACTTCGGGAAATCGGATGTCGGTAATTGAACATCCCGTCCAACGAGGTCGGGCCCCAGTTGCCTCGAAGATCCGGTTCAGTCTTGTCGTCGGTTTGGGGAGGAAGAGACCAAAGATATAGGACGTCGGATTTTTATCGAGCCGAGATGTCGATTCTGTTGATGCTGCGCCGATGTTGAGATCGGTCTTGACTGAACTCGTGCACTTCGGTTTTCGGTCATACAAAGCGAGTTGGTGACTGCAATTGAAGTCGGAAGTCGAGATGTCGTCGGGCGGTGATGTCAGAAAATTGAGATATCGGTGACCGCTCGAAAATATTTTGACCGAGGCAACCCCGGTGACATATCGAGGACGTGAAATTGGTCCTTGGCTTGTTGTTTGAATTCTTTCTCTTGATTTCAGAGATGTCGGATCTCGGTTTGAGCTTGACACTCGATGTCATTTGAAGTCGGGTCCCAGCTTAAATTTAGAACCTGATGTCGGTGATGATTGTTCAAGAGTTCAAGGTCAGTTGAAAATCTGATATCTGAGTCTTGCCCTGCTGTGAAGGTCGGATAAAGGCGTCGATTCATTTCGGAACTCGGCCCGATTTATGATTTGAGGACCCGAACCCGATGAAGAAGAAACCGGCTACGTCGGTAACAGTGAGACTATGCCCCGGTTGTCTCCGAGGTCAGGTTTGAATTTGTTGAGTTGGAGCCGGCTCGGCCTGAGATCGTTTTGTGCAGTTTGTTGATGTCTTTGAGAAGTCCGCTGGTTGAGGTCGGCGCTGGCTCCGACTCGCGAGAGGCGTTGGCTTCGACTCGCGAGGTTCCAACCATCGGTGATGAACGTGATTGTCGAAAAAGATAAAACCGGCCCCCCGATGCCAGCAAGATCGAAGAAATGAAGTCGAATTATAGTCGTGTCTCAGAGGCCGGGCTCGGCATTACAAACGTCGGCCCGTATACAATATTCCGGAAGTTCGTTGCGTTTTGGAGATCCGAGCTCGGGCTCTGCTGTGGATTGAGTTCCGGCAATGGTGAAGTCAGGCTTAGTGGTCCCGGTGTCCCGATGAGACGAAGTCGACTGTTTTGAAGTCGGTCGGACTCGACGCCAAACCGGAATTGTCGAGTGGAACTCGGCCCAGCCTGAAGTTGTTTTTTTTCAGCTCACGATGTCGGTTGGTGAGGTCCCGACATCCTGAAGTCGGTTGTGGAAGTCGGGAGTTGCCGAAGAGGATCATGTCGGCTTGAACGTGGTAGTGTCAACGTGTACTGCTGGTGAAAGTTTCTTGTCGGCTACACCACCGGCCGTTTTCAAGCGGTGCTCTTGACCTTTCTGATTTTTTTTTTTCTTTGTTTTTTGCCGTCGTCCTGCAACTCATTCCAGCACAGATTCCTCTTTTGTTTCTTGTGTTTTATTCTACTCAACTCACTTTGTAAGAATAAGAGAACTCGAGGGTCGAATAAGAGTTCAGATCTGAGAATTCTTTCTTGTTGTGTCATAAATCTTTGAGAAGAGCCCTCCAAATTTATATATGTTCTTTGTCGTTCTTCTTCAAGTGAAAAGTAAACTTGCAGCGAAAGAAAACTTAGAAGTTCAAAACCTGGATATCCCTCATAGGCTTGATCTGAATTGGTGAATATAGATGGATGTGAACATATAGATCGCAGGCTGCTGTATTATGGTTAAGATTAACTCCGAATAAATTACGGAGCCCTTCCTCTAGCTCCAAACTGTTGTTAAACGATTTTGTAACAACATAAAATGTACACCCCTATTCCGTGAATAGTCGATGTAGGATGAACATGAGTGTTTGATGATATTTGGAAGATGAATATCTATTCCTTTTTGTGTGATTTTTGATATGTTTTGTATATATTTCAGATCAAGAATTGAATGCAGAGAGTAAAAGAAATTTTTAAGAAGATAGAAACTGTCTGTCCTATTTCTTGTCATGGAATACTTGTTATTGAATGGAAAAGAGGATCAGGATCCTTGTTGAGGCGGTGCCTTGTGATTCCTGATAAGGAAAAATTAAAAGTCCCTCATCTCTTTCCCTTTAGCCCCTATTTATAGCTGGGCTAATATCGGCCCGTATATTAATGGGTTTGTACAATAAAATATGACCGCGCATGGCCCAATAATATATATGACCACGCAGGGCCCAATTAATAAATATGACCACGCAGGGCCCAATAATATATATGACCACGCAGGGCCCAATTAATAAATATGACCACGCAGGGCCCAATTAATAAATAGCTCTGACTGTTATTTGTCTTGTCAGCAATTGACATGTCCGTCTAAGCGGCTTTTTTGTGATATCTGGGTTGAGTTGGCGGTTTTTGAATACGAACCGTCTTCCGGAAACTCGGTCAATATAATTCAAATAAAAGAACCTGCTATTTTATATTTATTTAATATATATGTCCATGTGTACTATTTTAATAGGTGAGGCCAAAATTTAGGTAACAACAACGTTGGTGCATCACGGTTCTAATTAGGTATAGGCAATGTTATTGTTAACCAATAATCAACGAGTTAATCAACCTATTAACCACAATCTATTGAAAAAAGAGGATTTGTGTCCTACTGAATCCTAAACAAAGAACTCCAAAATGTGACAAAAACTTGAGTCTCTGCATGCATCAGTGACCGTCAACTAAGCGTGTAGTTGGTTGAGCCGTTGAGGATAGGAAAGAGAAAGTCCATTCTCCTCTCTCTCTCTCTCTCTCTCTCTCTCTCTCTCTCTCTCTCTCCAATTTAGATATTATGATGATGTCCTCTCACGCCGACTTGCAGAGATCATTAATATTTGTCCTTTTCACTCTTTTTTTTCCCCAAAATACCCCTCATTTCAATTCAACCAACGCCTTACAAGAACACTCAAAGATCGTAAATTGATCGGAAAGATTCAATTTTTAACTAGACAAAACAGATTTTTTTTTTTGTTTCAATTGGAATTAAAAAAAAAAAAAAGAAAATGCAGAATTTTACGCAGCACCCACAATTTACAGAGCAAGAAAAATTGAAATGCCCCAGATGCGACTCAATCAACACCAAGTTCTGCTACTACAACAACTACAATCTCTCTCAGCCCCGCCATTTCTGCAAGAGCTGCCGGAGGTACTGGACCAAAGGCGGCGCCTTGAGGAACATCCCGGTTGGAGGCGGCTCCAGGAAGAACGCCAAGCGCGGCACGGCCGCCGCCGCCAAGCGGTCGGTTCCTCCGGAGGAGAGCGAGGCATCGCTGCCCCGAAATAGCGACGGCTCAGGTGAGAGGCAGTCTGGTAATTTGCCGGAATTTGGTGGGCAGGGCGGGGCGGGGCCCCTGAAGCCGGACGATTTCAGGCAGGGGCAGTTGGGTAATTTGACGGAGGCCGCCGGCGGGATTGGGAGGAGCGAGGCGCTGCCCCTGATGCTCGACGATTTCGGGCAGGGGCAGTTCGGTATTCTGGCGGAGGTGAGGGGCGGTTTCAGCTCGCTGCTAGTGGGCTCGTCCGGCGGGGCCCAGTTTGGTGGTTTGCTTGATGGGCTGGGGCCCATTGGGCCCAGCTTGCATACGAGCGATCTGTTTTGTAATCCGGGCTCGGGTCAGGATGTGGATCCTCAAGCTGATGGGTTCTTGAACATTGGCGGCAGCGGGGATGGTGGCAGCTGGGGGCGCCGCGGCGGCGGCTGGCCTGATCTTGCTATTTAGAGACTTGGATGAATTTATCCTTCCTTATGTTTTCAGTCGGGTTTAAAAGTTTTAGTTTCATATTTAAAGTCTGATTATAGTGTAACAGAATTTGTGAAGTTATACATTGATGGCGCTTGTAGATTTCAATAGGGGTTTTTGCTTAAATGGTTGTGTATATGCTGGGGCTTTAATGGAGATATCTATGCATGAGATGTGTGTTCACAGATTTATTGAAATATTTTAAAAATATTCTCTTGGTAGAACACATAATTACAAACAGATTACAAGCGGTAACAGCCGGAAAGAGCAGATACACAATTGAAATTCTTGGGAGGACAACCCGAATAGCCGCCAAGTCGAACACACACAAGCTCCCATAACGAGAATTCAGCTCCCAAAAGGAGAATAAACACCCCACACAATAAAAAATCAAGTGGATTCTACTCCATGTGAGTGCTTTGTACACCTCTACGTACATTTATTACGTACTTAATAGCATTTTCCATAATTTATAACCAATCAGACCTAAGAGATTCATAGTGTCAATTCTTCGGTAGACATGGCCATCCCTGACGACCTTGTGGTTTATGCCCGTTGATCGGCCAACATAATTTATATTGACCACGGGGCTCGGGCTCAAATTTGAATTGGGCCCATACGATAGTCGTGCTGGTTCTAGGCCCTACTAAAAGATTCAATGGTCCCGACTCGGAATTGGGTCCACGCGCTGATTTTTACAGCAAAAAAATCAATTTTGATTTCTATTTTATAGCTGATCTTATGTTCGTTTAGGTCGCCAATGGTCGAACATTTAAACTCGATCATTGATCTCTGATTTCGCCAACCCGTCAGACCAGACGGGACTACTCAAAGTCAGTAGGTCCACGATATTTTTATTTTTTGAAACGACAATTTCGATACAAGTGTAAGGGGAAAATAGCAAATACATGATAAATTAAGGCTAATTTTTACATTTTTGTCCAATTTAATTAAATAAGGTTTCATTAAATTTTGACATATTCAATTTTCTTTTTATACGTATGGACTATCCCACACATACGTTCACAAATCACAATTATATCCTACTGATCCAACAAAATAAAATGAATCAAAAATCAATCCATACCTGAAGTATTTCGACTAGAATCCTACTGCAAATATAGAAAGGGGACGAACGCTTCAAAGACAAAAAAAACTACCATCTGTGCTTTGAGTGCTTTACTATCTTACAAACCTTCCCCGTAATGGGAACACTAAAATCAAGAAAAGTTGCAGTGCCACCTCTGGCATTCGTAAATCAAAGGCAGAAAAAAGTTTGACAAAAGTTTCGCTCATTATGCATGCTTTCGAGTGCCCGATGTCATGGGCTTTCTCCACTCTAATCCGTTCAAATAAAGTTTGAGGCACTTCTTTATCTCATTTGTACCCTCAATCGATCTTCACGGATGAATAGATCTTTCGGACGAACCAGAAGCACGCATAGAAGCCAATCGTCCCCGTAAGCACAAAGAAAGCGTAAGACGCAATCAGCATATACCCAAAGTATAAAATACCAGAAATGGCCTTCGTTATATCTAGCTTAGTGAAAAAGTAGAAAATTGAGTAGAGGAAAAGGTACAAAGCTGAGGACCCAGCAGTTAGGTAGGCCCTCCACCACCAATTGTAGTCCTCACTGCACAGCTGGAAGTAGCAGAGGACGATAGTGATCTCGGCACAAGTGATGATCAAAATCACAAACACTATGAACAGAAACCCAAATATGTAATAGAACTGGTTCAGCCAGATGGACGTCAATATAAAGAACAATTCAATAAAAACGGCCCCGAATGGTAGAACGCCCCCTATGAGCACAGACAACACGGGCTTCATGTACCAGGCCTGCTCAGGTATTTGCCTCGGGATCTTGTTGGTTTTCACGGGATCCTCAATCGCGGGCTTTTTAAAACCCAAATAACTACCAACAAACACCAAGGGTACCGATATTCCGAACCACAAGCACACGAGAGCAAACATCGTGCCAAAGGGCACGGCCCCGGACGATTTTTCTCCCCAGATAAGAGCATTCAGTACGAAAAACACACCGAAAAGGATGCCAGGAAACATGAAAGCCGTTTTTAACGTATTTCTCTTCCATTCCGTGCCCTTGAACATTTTGTAGAGACGAGCAGATGTGTAGCCACCGAATAATCCCATGAAGACCCACAAAAGGACCATAGCCGTCATGAGCCCACCACGGTTGGAAGGAGAGAGAAAACCCAACAAGGCGAAGATCATTGTCACGAGCGTCATCCCAAAAAGCTGGATACCTGTCCCCACGTAAACACAAAGAAGCCCTGAATTTACAGGGGCCCGGAAAACGTCTCCATGCAAAAGCTTCCAGCCTGTTTCCTCCTGGGCGTCATCCTGGGAATCTAGTTGGTTGTAGTTTGCAATGTCTCTGTAAAGGGTTCTCATCATGATCATGGCCACCATGCCCGAGAGGAAGAGCACGATCATCAATGAGTTGATGATAGAAAACCAGTGGATTTGATCATCGTTCATTAAGAGGTAAGTGTACCAGCGTGAGGCCCACTTGATTTCACTTTCCTGGGTAGAAAGAAATTGATTTTAGCAAGAAGGGAAGGAACAGAAAAAATGTTCCAAATGAGACAATCAACAAATATCTAAAGTAACAGAGAGGGTGCTGAGTACCTTGTAAGTAACGTCATATGTAAATATGACCTCCTTGTCCTTATCGACTTCCTGTGGTATTGCACCGCCCTGTACTATGTTCTTGGTGTTTGGGTTACATGTTGTTACCTTTGGGTTCTTCTCGTCCCATTCCTTGAACTCGTGGTTAATGCTGTTAGAATAAGTTTATTTGAAAGCTCAATTAAGCTAAATCATAAAAAAATCCTTCACAAGCCATTCAAAAAAATTAACAAACCTAGAAAAACTAAGGGAGTAATGTAAAAAAAATAATAATAATGGAGCAAAAAATTTAAGAACGGACTCAGTAAATACAGTTCTGCCAAAACCTGATTGGAGTAACTTCAAACCCCACGATTCGAGCAGAATCAGTCTCATGATCTCTATGATACATTACTCTGAAGCTCAAGTGGTTGTGGATATAATATTTCTCCTCCTTGCTCTACAGAAGAAGGTACATGCATTTAGAAACTGTTCAAGGCACATCCTCACAAGATGGCAGACAAGACACTAACCCCGGCATAATTCGCCTTGAAACCAACACGAAAACCATGCTCATAAGTTGTCGTTGAGCTTCCATCACGCCTTTGCCTAAGCATAGCTACTGGAAGGTTATCCAAAATCCTGCATGGATTTTCAAATGTTAGCACTTTTCATAAATCTAAAAAGAACAATTTATTAGACTGTGTTGCACAAAAAGAAAGGTGAATTTAGTCTATCACTTACATATTGACTCTGTACTCATCATCAATTTTCTCTTTAAAATCTTTTGCTGCTCGAGCGTCAAGCTTAACTTTACAAGCCACTGTGCAGGTTTGTTCATCTCTCATGTGAAACTACCAAAACGATCCAAATTAGGGGAGATACACATCAAAGGGAAATGGGGAATGAAACACCTGCATAGACGTTATGAACTAAGCATGGATGCTCACAGTATAAACTGAATTTTCAATACGGTCACCCCGCAGAACTTCTCCCAAGTTCTCAGCAACATTACTGATTTTTTTCGGCTTGCAGTATTTTAAGTAATAGAAATCATATGGAAGTTGTGTCTTAGTAGAAGAAAGCTTGTTCACTTTGACTTGAAGTTCATCCCCCTGTTAAGAAAGCAGCGACAAAATTACACGTGGAGAAAAAAACACAAAAGCAACTATCACCAACACATATGAAATGCAATCTACAAGTGCATAAGTAGTTCTTTAGTACCAAAGCTGAAGATAAACGTAAACATACGACATTAAGAAATAACGTTGTCGCAGTGATTCATTCGGCAATGGAAATAGAACAACTAGTCAACTACACCAAGTTTTTCTTGTACATAAAGAGTCCGGCCCTTCAAGAAATCGTTGTGTGCGTCTTTAATGGCCCAATTAAGTATTAGAACAGGAACACCACTAGCCAAAATGCTGGAAAGATTAATCCAGATGAATTTCATACCTTTTCTTCTATGTAATTCATGTTTCAGTTGGATAAATAGGCTTAGAAATATTCCTAACTAATATGCACAACAGCACGATCAATTCAAATGCTATGAACCAACTGACCGGAACAAATATCACACTCAATGCCAACAACCAAAATACAGATCAATCCAAAGTCGATTCATCACCAGCTCAATCTACGCACAAAACCCTAGAAATCATTTCATCATCTTAAAGAAAACATAATCCGACCATACATAAACACTCTCTCGAAATCACGAATCCCAAAACTGATGAAATTTACAGCCAGTGCAGGGAAAAGAAGATAAGTACTCTTGTAAAGTCGCGAGGTGCAACGCCTGGAAGATAGAAGGAGTGCGCTGATGAGATCGCTAGAAGAAACCAGAGAACGACTGCAGAGACCCGACCCGTGATCCGATTACCCATCGTATCCCTCGAATTGGATTCTGAATCTCCACGCTGAGTAGCAGAAGATCTTGTCGAACGGGACGAAGGTTATATTATTTGTTCGAGAATTGGCACGTTTAAGTCAATGCTTTGATACTTTGATCTCACACACACACATCTCTATGTTTGCTTGTGATGAACGTAGTCAATTTTTTTTTTTTTTTTAATAAGTAACAAATATGAAAGTGGAATATATTATGTATATTTTCACCATTTTCAAATTATTTTCTCAGTCGTCGTTGGGCAGCAAATATATGACAATATAAATTACAGATACAGTTTGAGGTCGTCTTCTCCGGTCATATTTACCTTTTCTCCTATGATTATCCGATCCATCAATGGCCGGAGAACCAAATTTCTCAAAAAAAAATCAAAACAATTTTAATTCTAACAACTTTTTTTAAATCAACTTTAATTCAACCTTACTATCATTAATATTATCAAATTAATTAAATAATATCAATTAATCATTCTTGAGTTGTTTATGAAGTAATTCAATTTTATATCCAACCTACTTTGGCAACAAAAGAGGTTTAACTCTTAAGCAAAAGGATATATTTACCACCTTTGAGGAAAAGGAAAAAGCTACCTCTACTCATTGTTAAGGTGTCTTTTTCATTTTGATGGATCTGATATAAATATGATATCGATGAGTGTGCGTTGGCGTTCCTCGACAAACATGATCGACCCGAGCCTCTAGTTTGATCATTATTCTATTTATTATTGTTATTTATGTTTTTTTTTTTATTTATGTAATGTTGGGCTTGGTTTGAATAGGCTTTTAGGACTTAGTTGTTAGGGCTTTTAGTGTTTTATTTAAAGACACAAAATTCAACATCTACTCAATATTAAAAATAAATTTGATCATATTGAGATTTCTCTCGTATCACAACATCCATCGTACGCTTCCTATATCATCTGACCGGGATGATTCACGATGTCGTCGCGACGACGAGATGTAGCAACTGAACAGCGTGATGCCGACATCAATGATCGTTTTCAGCGGACAATCAGATGAAATGGATGGACACTCGGGTTGCGGATATCTCTACTGAGATCGATGACATACGTCTCACGCTCGCTACCATGGTGCGGGATGAGCACATGAACCGTGATTTTTCCAGAGACCGAGGCAGTCGCGGGGGTCCCAGAGACGGTCCTGGCGGACGTTGGTTTGGCGGGGTGCCCCAACAACTGTTCCCACAGGCTTTGTTCGGCGAAGACGATAGCGAAAGCACATGGTTAGAGGGTAACCCTTTTTCTGAGGGTTTTGACCGCGACGACAATTTAGAGAATCGCAACCCGCCACGGCGGGAGAAGGGTTTACGCTATCCTCTATCGCCCACGCAACATGCAGCGAAAGAGATTCAGGGCCCCGGCTTTCATGTCCAACAACGCACAGGCGAGAGGCGCGATTCCCTAGATCACTATGGTTGGGAGGAGTTCTGGCGTGCTATTCCAGGCGAGGAGGGCGCTCGTCGTGGACAAGCTGAGGGGTGACGCAGGGCCGTGGATTCAAATGGCGACCGTGACCACGACAAACCTCGCTGGGGCGGGGATTTTCAGGGCTGCAGATGGCCCTCGATCGGAGGTGGTGAGCGAAGGCTGATAAGAATCGAATTTTTGCGTGGAAATTCCAGAGTTTGTTGGGGGATTGGAAGCGGATGACTTTCTCGATTGGTTGGCTGCCGTCGAGTCCGTTCTTGATTTCAAAGGCGTCCCGGATGAGCGACGGGTAGCATTAATGGCGACTCAACTTCATGGACGCGCGACCGCTTGGTGGTTGCAATTAAAGGGCGTGCGACATCGTCACGGGTGGGAAAACATTGCTTTGTGGTGCAAGTTCCGTAAGTACCTTGAACGAGAGTTTTTGCCATTTAATTTTATATGGACACTTTATTAGCAATTGTAGAATCTACGTCAATCCAACACAATGTTGATGAGTATACCAAAGAGCTTTATAAACTCCTCGCGAGGGTGGACATTCGCGAAAGACCGGAACAACTTGTTTCGCGGTATATTTGTGGGCTCCATGTCTCTATCCAGGACATGTTGAACATGTTTACTCCAGACTCCGTTTATGAGGCGCATCAGCGCACATTATTGGTCGAGCAACAGTAGGCCCGTCGGCCGACTTCGACTTTTACTCTGTCACGACAGCCTTCGGTGAGCACGACGACATCAGAGCCTGCCAGGTTGACTGTGGGGTCCGCGCCGTCTGGGTCCGCAGTCGGGGTCGAGGTAGTGGACCCGCGCCAGGGGGCGGCACTCGCAAGCTAGGCGCCCCAGATGCATTATATGTGCAAAACCAAGGCATATGCAGGCCCAATGTCCAAAGGCGGGTGGTCCACGAGCTCTTTTAGTCCAGGAGGAGGATTTCGGGGAGTACACCAGTCCGCTTATTTTTTATGAGGAGCCTAAGATTACAGATGAGCACATGACGGTGGACATAGGTCACGCGTTGGTCCTTCGTCGATCTCTTTTATCCCCACATGTCCCGACCGAGAGTGCAAGAATAATTGTTCATAATAATTATTTGTAGATATAAGACAACGTCATCACATTTTGGACAGTCGAAGGTCGTGTGTGTCGGTTTATGATCAACTTAGGCGCGTGCGAGAATATGGTGGCTTCGGAGCCTCATCCACAACCCTACACCCTTGCATGGATTCAGAAGGGGAGTTCGGACACAGTGGATCGACGTGTTTTGGTGGCTTTTCCTATCGGCCCTACGTACAGTGATGAGGTTTGATGCGATATTGTGCCGATGGACGTCTTTCATCTGTTGTTAGGCAGCCGAGGCACTTTGACCTGCAGTGATTCATGACATGCATCTGAACACTCAAGGTTTTGTTTTTTAAGGCGTTGCTTGTTCTGCATCCTTCTCCGCGTAGTTCGGATTTCAGTACCTTATTTGTCGGGTCTGACACCTTTGTCTTCGTCGCCTTTGTTCTTTTCGCGGTCCGCATTTGTTCGCGAAATGCACGGGGCACCGATGGTCCTTTTGGTTATGGGTGAGAACTCGGCTTCAGCTGGGACACCACCTGATGTGATGCGGCCTTTGCTGCGACAAGCCATGAACCTGGACATGTAGCGAGCAGTTGTAACAGTTAATTGGCAATTTTTAGTTGAAATTCTTATGACCTTGTAGCCGGTTTTGTTGTTATATTTGAGCTTAAGAGCATCTCCAAGAGCCTCCCTATTTCTCTTTCTTATCTCAAAAATAGGGATTTTCTCTCAAAAACTGTCTCCAACAGTTCCCCCAAACATGGTCCTATTTTTAGGATGCTCTCAAATAGAGGCTTCTCTTCGTCATTCCTGTGGAGGGAAAAACGACCCCCCCCATTTCATCTCCCCGCCATTATTTTCGATACGCGCTCTTTCCTTTCAACCTATCGCGGTCTTTTTCCTCCCTGGTCCTTTCATCTCCCCCTCGTCGCCCTCCACCGCCGCCCGCTCGCAGCATCCACGACCGCCCCCTCGCCGCCCTCCACCGCGGCCCCTGAACAGGTCAAATCCCTCGCCACCGCCGCTGGAAAGGTGCCGCCACTACCGAATGGAAGGTGCCGGCGTCGCCCCCGGACGAAAAGGTGGCGCTGCCGCCGCAGCTGCCGCAAACAAGGTGCCGCCGCTGTTGCCCGATCAAGAATCCATCGTCGGCATTTCGAGAGGTCCACCCAGTCTGGGCTTCAAGTGGGCTTTTAGATAGATTTGTGGGCCTGGTTCAGATTCAAATTATAAAATAGAGAGACTCTTTGAGGAGAGCATAAAATAGGAAGCAAATGGATATAGGATGACTCCTTATTTCTCCAAATAAAAAGTCTAAAATAGGAAGTCTCTTGGAGATGCTCTAAGTATTCATTGTGTGACTATCATGTAATAAATTAACAAAAAACGCTTATTTCCGAGCACGATTTCTTGTATCGACCGTGGCCGTTTAGCCCGGGTTTACAAAATTTCTACGTCCGATACACAATCCTACCAGCTTTGTAAACATTGTACATATAATTTAGGATTAAAAAAATAACTAAACCAAAATCGTGTCTTTGTTATAACAAAAGGGACCCATCAACCGATAGGCGATAACAGCTTATGCTAAAAGGATTCCATACGCGCATTTTAGCACTTACTCGCAAAACGACAGTAGGTGAGCTGGAAACATCTCTCCACCTTCACACTATAAAGTAAAAACAAACAAAATTGAAAAAAAAAAAAAAAAAAA